GGCGAGCGCCCCCCCACCCCCTGCCGCACCGTAGCACCTCCTGTAGCCCCCGCCCCATCTTGCTGAAGCTCCGCCCCCTCTCTGTAATGCCAGCCATCTTCAGGCCAGAGATTGCCCAAGTCCTTACCGAACCCCCGGCACCCCAGAAACCTCTTCCAGCTTAGACTCCAGCTGGCAAAGGGACAGCAGGAGGTGCTGGCAACACTGGCCCAGGGGCATTCCCGAGGGGCAGTGCTGCTCCTGTAGCCCCCGCCCCATCTTGCTGAAGCTCCGCCCCCTCTCTGTAATGCCAGCCATCTTCAGGCCAGAGATTGCCCAAGTCCTTACCGAACCCCCGGCACCCCAGAAACCTCTTCCAGCTTAGACTCCAGCTGGCAAAGGGACAGCAGGAGGTGCTGGCAACACTGGCCCAGGGGCATTCCCGAGGGGCAGTGCTGCTCTTGCTGGTGGAAGCTCTTTGGGGAGGTGGGTTTCCCCCTCGTATCACGCCTACTTAACACGCCGGAGAAGGGAAGTTCTGGTGAAAGGTCTGTCCCTTATGCACACAGCAGGCTTGGGGGCTTGTACTGCCCTGCTCCAGGAGAGAGCAGCCTAGCCTGGTGTGTCTTGGGGGGAGAAGAGGCCAGATCTGGGTCCTCACCAGTTGACCGTGCAAGGATGGGGCCTTGAGCGGGGTAAATGCTGGTGGGTGCTACCATAATGCACCTAATAATTAACTGAGATCTGGCATTATCGCTTCTTATGAGCATTATGGTAACCCCAAAAGGCCTTAGTATCTGATCTTGGCTAAGGCTTGTAGGTGCCGCTCTGATGCCTGGTCTTTGCGGTACCGTAATGCACCTAAGAGAGGCTGCCTGGTTTTGGCCGAGGGCGGGGGGCTGCACCATACGGAGCAGGTGGATGTGTGCCCGGCACTGAGCTGTCCCCTTGCTCCCCGTGCAGGAGAGAAGCCCTACAAATGCACCTGGGAAGGCTGCACCTGGAAATTCGCCCGCTCCGACGAGCTCACCCGGCATTTCCGCAAGCACACGGGCATCAAGCCCTTTCGATGCTCAGACTGCGACCGCAGCTTCTCCCGCTCGGACCACCTGGCCCTGCACCGCCGGCGGCACATCATGATGTGAGGGGGGGAGGGGCGGCCGCCGGCTCCGCTCCGCGCTGTTGGCCACGGCAGAGACGGGAGGCCCCCGTCCCCAGCTTGATTCAGCCTGGCCGCAGGCTGGACGCTCGCTCGGCACCTGTGGCTGCCCACACCTGAGAACGCAGCCCCCACCCGTGCACAGGAGGGCTGGAACGCGAGGCCCTGCTCCCTCCCGCCGCCCCCCCTTCCTGGACCGCCCCCGGAGTCCTCCACGTGGAACCCAGCTCCTCCCCGGCTTTGGGCTTTTTGCACATCGCCTCCCCGCCGGGCTCAGGTGACCCAGCGCCGGCCTGGCCCCGGAGAGCGACTCAGCCTGGCCGGGCGGCTTCGCTGCTGCCGCCGAGAGCAGGATTGGGGGCCGGCCGGGCCTCCCGATGGGGTGCTGCAATATGTTCTGGAGACGCTGGCACCGCCCCTCCTGTGTACGGGCACGTCCACCGCGGCTGGTCCCGGAGCCTCCCCCTGAGGCCCGGCTGGCAGCGGAGAGCCGGCCCGGCCCGGCGGGAGCGCGCCCTTTTGTGGGCGGGCAGGCGGCCTCGTTCGGTGAAGCCCCGGTCGCTTGAGGGGGGCGGGCCTGCGGACAAAGAAAAGGGAAAATTTTGCGGAACACGGAACTGTGATTTTATCTGATTTTGGGGGGGTGGGCTGGGGACCCTGCATTATGCCAGTGCTGCAGGGCCGTAGGACAGTCGAAGCATTTCTAATTTAAACCTTGCAGCCTGGACACGGACTCTAGGAGCATCGTCCGTTGCGCGTCAGGTCAGCAGTGGCCGGGCCCTGCCCTGCCTGGACTCATGGGGCTCTGTACCGGGCCGTTCTGGACTTGATTGGGGGGGGGGCGGAGGGGGTGGCCTTGGGGCTGGAAATACACACGTCCATGCACAGGGGTTCTTTGGGTTTCAAGAATTGGTTTTCCCCCATCCTTTCTGCAGGGGCGGGGCTAAGAACCGGCCACGTTTCCCGATGCTCCTTTTTGTGTCTGCGCCTTCCTCCCTGGGGGATTTGAGGTGGGGAGAGGCTGGGATGACGTGTGCCTGCCCCCCAGTTCTGTGCGTGTGCGCAAAGGGAGAGACACTGGCTAGTCCCGTTTGGCGCTGCTCAGGCCTAGGACGGTTTCCCCTTCGTCTCCCAGGCCAGCCCAGTTAGCGCCTGCCCCACAGCGGTGGTTTTGGGGGAGGTTCGAGAGCTGGAGTTCGAAATTCCAGTTTAATCACTGGGCAGCTGGCCGCCCCATGGGGAAGCCAACATTTCAGCCGCACGCCAGTGCTCCCCCTACCTGGGGCACCAATCTGCCTGGACTACCCCAGCCCCCGCGCCCCTTTTTAACTCGGCGTGGCCACCGCTTGCCGTATTGGGGTTTTCCTTAAAGCTGCGGAGCCTGGCGCGGGTGGGAACCTGGCCTTTCATTGAAAAGCAAAGTTTCTCACCTGCCCGGTTGTGGCGCAAACCTGGGACATGGCTGCTCCCAGGGAAAAATGCTCCCTGCAGCATTGCGTTTTGTGTAAATCTCATATTTTTTTAAATCGGTCTCATGAATTTTGAGGGAGAAAGGGGGGTTTCTCTTGATTGCTGAAGGCGTGGGGTTGGCAATACTCAGACGACACCTGAGAAGCAGACAGGTTGTGTGTGTTGGTTTTAATTTCTCAATTTGCTGTTTCCGGAGCATCGATGCAAAACACACAGGCGCACACGCGTGTAACCTTGCACGGTAAGGCAGCGAGGCAGGCAGGAGCCGTCACTCGGAACTTTTGCTCTCCTCTGTCTGAGCAGGGCAGGCGCTGTGTGGGGGTTTTTACCGTGACATTTTAAAATCTGGAGCTGTGAGATATTTGTACAAAACTGTTTGACGTTTTTCTACATGGGAATAATATGGAAAGTAGATGCATTTTGTTGGTGTCTTGCTTTTAAAAAGAGGGTTTTTGTCTTTTGGTTGCTGGGAGGGGAGGGGGAAAAAAGACCATCGCAAATCCAGTAAAACAAATCCTTGGCTCTCGGCATGATCTTCCCTTGATGGCAAAGTTCTCAGCCACAGTGTTGGATCCAAATTTCAGCCTCTCTTCCCCCTACTCCCCCAATAGAAAAAGGCTTTTTACAAAACTTAAGAGCAATAGAAGGGGTTTTAGCAATACAATTCTAATGAAAATAGCATTTCTATTTGAAATTTGGAAGTAGGCATTTGAAAATAGAGCCAGAAGTGAAACCGACCACAAGCAGAAGTGAAACTGACCTCCTGGGTTGGCAAGGTGGAGACAGAAGTGTGCAGGTTCAAGCAATTGAGGAAAAAATGGGACACTTCAAATTGCCTTGGCTACTTAACCCCATCTCCGAGCATGGGACGGAAAGGCAATGTTATTACCACAGCTGATTTTGTGTCAGTGTTGGAACAGTTCTTTTTGCCAGGCTCAAAATGAACCTCGTCCTTACCCTTGCCCCTCGATTTTTTTTCTTTTTCCACAAACATTTCCCCCCCCCCCTTTTTTTTTACTGAAAACTGCTGGTGGGGAGCTGGAGATGGGGGACAAAAGAAGGAAAAATGTGAAAAGAAAAATGATCCCTTTCCATTAAAACATTAACGAACATTTTCCAGAACAGTTTGGACATGCAAAAAATTGGGGGATACAAAAAAAAATTGCGAGCAGCTCTAATGTGTGGCTGGAAAGAAGGAATCCTAGAATACTAGAACTGGAAGGGACTGCGAGAGGTCATGAAGTCCAGGCCCCTCCCCTCACGGCAGGACCCAGCACTGTCTAGACCATCTCTGATAGATCATTGATGCCCGAGTCGGCTCTGTTCCACCCTCCTCTCCTTAAACGACTAACCAGCTGGATTCCGTGGCGAGCAGCCTGCCAGGACAAACGGCCAGAGGTCTCGCTGCCTCGTCTACACTATGACAACTGAAATACTCTGAAAATCAGGTTCCTGGTTATCCCCAGGTCCACCCCACTGCTCCCATTGACTTCAGTTGCGTTGGGCGTGCTCAGAATCTCAGACAATTGGTGCCAACAGCCCAGGGCCTGACATCCTCTACTGTCTTTAGGTGCTTTACTTCTATAAAATCAATGGGTGTTAGGCACCTAAATACCTTGGACATTCTGGGCCCAGCTTCGCAGCTAGACACTGGGCATGGTTCAATGGATGTCAGTAGGTCACTGACCATTTTACACCAGCCTGGGTTTTGGCCCTGTGGGGGTGTCTGCACTGTCATTTGAACCTGTGGCCCCAGAGTCCACCCCCCTCGTGGGGTCTCTGCAGCCCTTGTGCCTAGGCTGACCTCCACGAGCCCAAGCCAGCTGTGGGGCTTGGATTGCTGTGTAGACACTCGTGGTGGGTTTAAACCAGTGTTTCTTAAACCGTGTTCCGTGGCACACCGGCGTGTGGCAAACAGAATTCAAAATGGCTGCCCTTAAGGGGGCAGGTGACTTTTTTCCCTCTAACTTCCCCCTGATGCTTTTTCCCCACCAACTTTTTTTGCTGCTCAGCAAAAAATCCTTGGTGTTCCTCATTTAAAAAAAAAAAGGGGGTGTTCCTTGGTCTTATGTTTAAGAAACACTGGTTTAGACTGTTGTGCAATTGGTTTCAAGTCAGGCGACTTTTTGGGGGGGTCCTCTTTATGCTGGGGTACAGGGAGAGGAGTTAAGGCCCCATGGTTTTTATCTAGTCCAGTGGTGGGCAGCCTGCCTGCGACCTGTCGGGTCTAAGCATGTTCCTCGAGACATTCTGCTACCATTGTCTTTGTGCAGGGTTGACCGATTCCGCCGGTTTCTGACCGCGTCGATTGTTCCTACCCGTGTCACTAAAGTGACACACACGTAAAGCCAGGCTACGGGCAGCGAGGAGCGTGCAGATTGAGTGAGCCGTGTGCTCCCAGTGCCTCCAGTCCCAGCGCTGCCATGGGTCCGTCGGTAACAGCCTGCAAATTCCAGGTACGCAAGCGCGGTGAGCAAAAACAGCCCTATCCCAGGAGACTGGCTTGCTTGCCGCGATCCTGTGGCCCACTGAAACGGAAGAGGGTCAGTCCTGCGGCCCACTGGCTAGCCTGGGCTGCCCCAGATATGTACCAGGATTAGAACAGTTCTTAGCCCTGATTGTAACCGAAGCGTTTTCCTGTTCCATGGGACAGAAATACTGCGGTCGAGCTTTTCAACAGTTGGATCCCTCCGTGTTTAGGTGACCAACTTCCAGCTCCTCTTCAGGGCCCGGTTTCTGCAGCGTGGGTTTGGAGCCCTTCTGGGCCCCTTGACGGTGTTTTTCCTTGCCCCCCAATCACGCTGTTTCTAACACATTTGGGTCCGAATCAGGCTTCCGAAGTGTGTTTTGAAACTTGGTTCTGTCTGTCGACAGGACACGCAGGCGCCCGGCTGCTCCCAGGCCCTGTAGACAGGTGCGGTGTAGGGCGAGAGCTTCACCACGAGCCCCTACATCTTCTGATCCAACGTCGTGTCCCCGAGAGACGAGCGCCTGCTGAGGTGTCCGCTCCCCTGCCCGCCCCTCGTTCAGTGTCAGCAGCCTTGAAAACTGTCCTGCGGCTCAAGTCCCCAGCAGGGACCGCCCAGACAGTGGGACTGCAGGTGCAGTCTGAATAAAGCTTCTGCCCCTTTCGTCCTGGGCTGGTCCCACCCTGGAAGTGGAGTGAGGCTGGAGGTCTTGGGGGGATGTCCCATCATGGGACAGTGGCCAGAATGGGGGCAGATCCTTTTTTCAGACGTGAGTCTTTGGGCCCAGAGCCTCCAAGGCATTTCAGGGAGGTAGGTGCCTAAACACCTGTGAGGCTCTGGGCCTTTCACTTGGGAAGACAGTGCTCTCTAGTGGTTAGAGCAGAAATGTAGGGCTCAGGACTTGTGGTTCTGCTCCCAGCTCTGCCACTGACTTGCGCTGTGACTGGGCAAGTCCCTCTCCCCCTCCGTGCCTCAGTTTTGCCATCTGTCAAATGGGGATAACAATACTTAATCTACCTCACGGGGGTTGTGAGGCTTCCTTTGATGTTTGCAGAATGCTTGAAGCTCCTCGGATGAGAGGGGCTGCAGAGCAAAGTATTACGATTTTCTTTTGTACCGTTAACTAACTTATCGCGCCGTGGGCTGCAGACAATGCGAAGGCTGCTGTGATGGATGCTTAGGGCAAGGGGCATGGGATGCCTTTCGAAACCCTCTCGCCCTTCCAGCGGGCAGCGGGCCAGCGTCCCGCCTCGGGAGCTCAGACCTGATCTTTTAACACCCCC